TCTTCTCCCCCCGACTATGGTATGGTTCTGTACCCTTGAATGCAGAAAAAAATGGCAACCTACTACGCGGGAAAAAACTGCCTTCTCAGTCATGTATCGAAAGATACATGATCGCCTAAGCGTGTATCACGCATGGCACATAACTGACTGACTAGAGGTCATTATTAAACTTTGAACCGCAAACAAGATTTGTAAACATTTTCGAACTAGGTACACATTTAGGGAGATTCGATGCTTGAACTCCGTTGTTAAATGCAGAAGGGAAATACGTACTGCAAGTTGAAACAGAACTTCTTTAAACCTTTGTTTGAACAATAAAGACATCCCCATTTTGCATCACGGCTCGAATAACCAGAACTCAATTAAATTGCAGTCAGTCCATTAACTTACATTATTTTTATTTTTATCCTTTATATTAAAAGTTGTTTTTCACTTTCTTTAACTCTTTATAATAAATAAATATGTCTATGTTATACGCCATGATTAAGGAACAGACAGTCCCGGGTAAAACGGTAAACTAAATCCGCGTCCTGGGTAAGACGATGAACTACATTCAACAGCAAGGCCTTTGATCAGGTGTGAAACTACTTCTTAATTGCTGGTTTTCCCAGGTTCACCTTGACCCTGGGAGGTAGCACCTGTTAGTGGGGGTCCCAGCTATGGGCAAATAGTTAACCCCCAAGCTGTAGTCACACCATTAAGAAAGTGTAAAAGTAGGTTTTAATACCAGAAATACTTTGTAAAAATTATTACCAGCAATAAATTTTTGGAGAAAAAAATATTACCAGCAATATATTTTTCATAAAAAAACATATTTCCAGCTATACATTTTTTGAGAAAAAAAATATTACCAGCAATAAAAATCTTGTCGGCATTAAATAACCCATTGAGGACGATATGCCGTAAAACAAACCAAACCAATTAAGAAATATATAAATGTCGTTAGAAACAATTGAAAAACAGTGCTGTGTAATAGCAGTCCTTGTATATAGCAGTGAATTTTAGGAAATTTCATGAAAGATATAAAAGGGATTTGAGACAAAATAAGTGTGGTTCTACAAAAGGATGCCGAGAATAATATCGAGGAGCATGTCAGCAATGAGGAAGTTTTAAGGTAAAAGTATAAAGAAAAAGAAAAAAAAAAGAAAATTTATACTTATAATCAGAAAGAGACAGTCTATATTTCTGAGATGAAGGATTGTAACTACACTATTTACATACTTAGGAATGTTGTCCTCATCTTTATTCAAGAATTTTCAGCCGTTGCACACTCCGATCTTCTTCAGATGATATACGTTGGAATTTCGAACCGAACTCAGTATTCAGTCCACGGGATTACATTGCTTTAATTCCACGGGCCATATTTTTATGGGTATCTCAGTTTTAGTTAATTCCCTTTAGTAACTGAACTCTCCAACTTTTTGTTTCATCTGCTGTGGCTAGGTATTGAACTCGCAACTCTTTGGACCAAGTCCCTTTTTGGATTACTTAACCAACGCGTTTATCCACTAGGCCAAATAAAGGGTTCGGTTCGAAATTCCAATGTATATCACCTGAAGATGGTCGGAGCGTACAACGTATGAAATGTCGTGAATATGCTAATAAAGATGAGGACAACAGTCCGAACGATGCAAATAGTGTAAACAGAAAAAAGCAGTTGAAATATTTTGGACACATAATGAAGAAAATGTGACTAAAGAATTCGACGATCACCGGACATACTGAAAAAAAGAGGAACAGATAAAAACTGCGAATTACTTACCTAAGTAAGCAACATTACTAAACTCTGCAAAAGAAAAGGGACTTGCAGAGAGTCATGATCACCCAAGTTCTGAATGGCATATTAAAAAAAAAACAAGTTTCTACCAACGTTACCATGAGGGTAAATTAAAACGCAAAAGCATGCAACACATTTACTTCCACTGATGAAGAACAAAAGCATAGGAAACTTTGGGACACCTCCTGCACGCCGTTGTACTTTCGGTTCCGTTCAATGAGATTCTTCATGCCTTCCGAAAAGAAGCCTTTCGGTTGTTCACGAAGCCACGTCTGCACCACTTGCTTGCTTGGGCACCCAACGCGCGCAAATGTTCCGGTATTCCATGTCATCATATACCAAGGCTAGTTGATGTTCATGATTGCCGCCACTTGTGCTATCGTGATTCTTCGGTCTTCCCCGATCAAAGCATCCGCTCTCTAGATGTCTTCTTCTGTGCGCAATATTGATGGGCGATCAGATCGGCCTTCGCCCGTTACACATATTCTTCCCTTTTTAAAGCGTTCTACTTATGCGGGCTCCGTTCTTCGTCAACATCGAGCGATGGATACCGGCAGGTATGATTCTCTCTGCCCAAAGAAGAAAAAAGATCCAAGGTGCATTGTTCTTCGATGGTGTAATCCCTGAGTGGCGCGTCCATACGTCTGACCACGTTGCTCACTGCCATCCAGTTGAACGCACGTATAATTATTCGTTACCCAATACGGCTTGGTGGCTTCACGCGTCAGTGTCTCCTTGTTGTCTTTACCATGTAATTTCAAAATTGCTTTTACTTTCTGATTTACTCGCGTATTAATACATTAATGTAGACCCTCCAATTTGGGGGATAGTGTGTATTAATTGATTATAGATACGAATCTGTAATTAATACAGGCTTTTTATAAAACTAATTAATACCATTTTTATAAACGTATAATTATTTCTGGAGCAAGTAATACAAACGCAAAAAGATATACTTATGTTCTGTAGATTACGCAAAAGCATTTGATAAAGTACAACACAAAAACTTATTTGAACTACGAGGCAAGCACCGCAGTTATAGGAAATGTAAATTAGAATAATCCGTTACCTTTACTGAAAATAAACAACAATAAAAACAAGTTAAGCAAATCCATAAAAATAGAACGCAGGAATAAGAAAAAGGGCGTGTTTTCTCACCAGATTTATTTAAGCTATACAGCGAGACGATTTGAAGAGAACTAGAAGTCCTAGCAGGATTTATTCTTGGTGGACACGATCTTATCAACATATAATGCATAGATGACACCTTGTTGATGTCATATAAACAAATTGAAAGGGGGCGTAAGACAAGGACGAGATTTCTCACCAGATTTGTTCAATGCATATTGCGATACGCTTTGAAGAGAACAAAAAGCTCTAGCAGGATTTTTTATTGACGTGCACATTTAAAGATTCGCAGATGACACTATGCTGATATCAGATACAACAATAAAGATAGGGCGTGAGGTAAGAATGCGTTTTCGCTCCGAATTTATTCGATCTCTACTGCGAGACAATAATCAGCAGGCCAATACTTTTAACAACACGATACGCAGATGACATTGTTTTGATGATGGAATCAGATGGAAAACTATAAAAACACCGAGAGAAGTTGGTAAAAAAAAAGAGAAGAAATAAACATCAAGCATAAGTCGGCATCAAGCGAGGGGTGGGTAAACAAAGATGTGAGTTTCAAGTTAGAGATATGAAAATCAAGACTGTAGCGAAATTTAACTATCTGTGTAAGTCTATGAAGAGAGTAAAGTGTTGTACATAGATATCCAAAGGCTAATCAAAACAGCAAAATAGGTCGCCTCGCAATTGAACAAAGGATTAAAACAAAGAAACAAAGAACACAGTGCTGAATTATAATGCCCAGAAAAAAATGAAAGGGCAGTTAGAATATGCTTTTAAGAACCTGAAATGTGTCATCCATTACGATCAACTGGAACATGAAAGGACTATCACTGATGATGTTTATTGACAGCAACTTCATTGGACAAACAAAGCATTATATCAAAAGTGTATCGCTTTGATAAACGGGAAAGGTTTTAATATTCATCACGGTAATGTTTGCACACATTCTGAAAAAAAAAAAAAAAAGAAAAAAAAAATCAGGAAAAAATAATCGTTAGGATGGGTGGTTCTTCTACATCCTTCATATTTACCAGACTTAGAACACAGATTGAAAATTTGTTGGTGCTAAACCTACAGATATTCATTTGTTTAGATCACTACGACATTTTATAAGTGGCAGACCATTCAGAAAGAGAAGATGAAGAAAGAGTTTCAAACTTATCCGGGAAACGTCTCTTTAAAAGAGCGATTGAAAATTTGACTTCCCGTTCATCATTCTTGAACAATAATATTTTTATTTATTAAAGACATTTTTATTTATGTTTAACGTTGTTATTTTATAGATACAAGTATTTAAGCAAATGCTCTGTTTAAGATAAACAGTATTAAATAACATTTACCGGCCTGAATGTCCGAGAAATTTTCATAGAAAATATTCGTTCATAGACAGGATTCGAACCTGCATCCTATACGGAACTGTCATATACGCTGACATGCCTTAACCACTCGGCCACCATGAACCTTATGGTAGACAAGGTCGAATTTACTGTTATAAACTACAATCTTCCATGAATCTCGTACATTCATAACTGCTCTGGCGTATCGAATGTAAACAAATGACGTCATATGTTAAAAATGGACAAGGTCCGACAATTTATTTATTAAAGACATTTTTAACATTTTAACGTTGAATTTCCGATAAAGTTTCATAAGCAAATATCTGTTTAATAAACAGTATTAAATAACATTTACCGGCCTTTATCTTAAACAGAATTTTCATAAAAATATTCGTTCATAAAATAATTCGTTAAATAAATAAAATGTTAATAAATAAATTGTCGGACCTTGTCCATTTCTTAACATAATAATATTTTTATAAATTTGATTCTTATTTAGACTTACGGCCATATCACGTTGAACCATCGGTTCTCGGGCAATCACCGAACAACGTCGAAAATGGTCAGTATCAAGATGAGTAACCACTTCGAAATATCTGGTGCCGTAAGCTTAGATATGCAGGTAGTATGGATTACGAAACAACGATTCTCGTGTAATCATCGAATTTAAGCAAAGTTAAACCTGAGCAGTACCTCGATGGATGACCGCTTGGGAATACCAGGTGCTTGGATGTGCAGATAATATGGATTACGACCATATCCTGTTCAAACACCGGTTCTCGTGCGATCTCTAAAGTTAAGCAACGTCGAGTCTAATCAGTACTTAGACAGGTGACCGCTTGGAAATAACAGGTGCTGTAAGCTTGGAGGTGCGGGTAATGTAATGGATAACGACTCAGAATTGGAAATCTGAGAGCCGAATTCCAATTCCAATTGGGTTCGTTATATTCACTTACGCGCAAATAACCTTGGAAAAAGTAAAAATCCACCTGTTCTCCCCCAGTTATGGGCTAAATAATTAATATCTCCAAACAATTTTTACGATCCAAAAATATTTTCTGGCTTTAAATAACCTGCAAAAGGTTGATAAGTCGTAAAAAAAAAACAAATCAATGAATAAATGTTTTACATTTGTAAGAAAGTACTAGTCAAATCTGAATTCAAATTGATAGTGCTTTGCCTAAGATATCCAGACATTTTAAATTTATTATCATTCAGACATTAGATAAAGACGATACGATATAAAAATTAACAGCCTTTCACCCAAGAAATCCACAACAAAAAATTAGGTTAATATATCTTAATATATCTTAATATGTCTTAAGAGTGTAAAACACAATGTAGCTCGTCAATGGAAAAAGAAAAGAATGTAGCCGATTTGAATGGCGCCTACTGTCTGAGAAACCATGACCTAATCGATAAAACGCTGTCACTGTAAGACAGGTTCCCAGGGATTAGGGAAGCGAATAGCACGCTAATTATTTCCGACTCGTGAAGCGGACATAACAGTCATAGAATAAATGTAAAAACAAACAGAGAGTTACGATAAAGGGGTGCCGATATGATGTCTATATAAATGTGGGTGAATTGAAAGAAACAATATGACTGTGCAGTACTTAGAAGAAAGAAACGAATAGAGGAAACTAGAGAAGAATATCGGGGTGTGTGCGTCAGATTAAGAAGGAAAAGATATTGAGAAAACCTTTACCACCTGAGTCAGGACACTCAGACTGTCTTTTCAGATGAGATATGACACACATGCAGTTTCCCTTACACAGGCCAGGGCACATACCTACTCGAATCAAGGCACTCATACAGTTTTCCTATACGAGTCAGGAAACTCATACACTACCCCCCCCAAGTGAGAACATATTAGGTTTAAGATTACAGTCTTACACAACTGGGTTGTTTTAAAGAAACATAGTCTAGTGAATTAAGGTGTTGGCTAGAGTATATATAGTGAGGTTAATCCTGTATAAGACCCTGGAGCCACTCGAGTAGAGAGTTACAGAGTAAGAGACACAGTTTAGTGTATGTGGAGAAGATAACAGTTAACACTAGACTAGAACAGGTTAGAATTGTACTGATCAGGAAAGCATCCTCGTGGGATTCGGTTCAATAGAGTAGTGATTCGCGGGAAGAAGCTGTTGGAGTCGAACTTACTTCTCATCAATGGATGAGGGTGGTTCGCAGCAATATACATAGCTAGGTAGGTATAAGCCGCAAAGGTTAGAACGGGTGGAACAAAGGAATGTACTTCGTCTTTTCATGGAAATCGCGATGGAGCAATGAGAAGCTTGCTACATTTCGTCTCTGAGGAAAGGATTGCTGGGTGGAAAATAATTTATCACCCACAAGGATGCCTTTTAGACTCTATCGGGACTGGAAAGTGCGGTCTGGTAGCTCACGTCCAAATACGACAGCAGTACTCGATTTTAGACCTAATCTGGTTCTTATATAGATAGAGGACAACATGAGGAGTCAGGTACTTTTATAGAGCGATATAGGGAACGTACCATTTCACCTGCATCTTGGATCGTGTGTATGACTTCCACTTGAGGTTTGGGTTAAGTTTGAGGCCCAAGTTTCGCTCAAGGTAGTGAGCCTCCCTGAGGAGACATCCATTCTTCGTGACTGATGGTAGATCAGGGTCCGGTCGGCGATGATGGGATGTAACTAGTTTAGTTGTTCGAGGCATTGAATGTAACCAGCCAGTTTTTTCCTGCTAAGCTGTTAGAGTTAGATCAGCGGAGAGATCAGCTGCCAATTTCTGGTCGTCACGAGTTTTGGTGGTGATGTTACTTAAAACGCTAAGTTTGGCAGTACAGAAACGCAGGATTCTCTGGTTCCGTGGAAGAAATGAGGTATTAACTGTAAGAATGCAAAACTCTTGGTCGTCAACAAAACAGACAGCTCAAGACCTGAGCTACAGTTTGGGGACATAATAATCTAGATACAGAAATCAGTGTAAGGCAGTCACAGAGGACAGAAAACGGCGCATAGAAATCTTAAGGTGCATAAAATAGCGAAAAATGCCTTCCCAAACTTAAGCAGACAACTCGACAAGTATCCTTATAAAGTAAGATGTGAATGCTGAATTGTGATGTAATATCTAATCTCCAATATGACATTGAATGCGGAACAATGTTCTCGGGTTAAGAAGAGAATTGAAGTTATAGAAATATGGTTCCACACCACGAATGCTGAGAATGCCAGTGACAGAACATGATATCAACGAGGAAGTTTTAAGGAACATTGAAACTTCAAGAAACTTGATAATTGCAATTTTATAAGTGGTGGAACATTGGGAAAGAAAATTTGAAAACAGTCTTGAAAACTTTTCACAGAGGTATGATGTAGAAAATTGCAATAAAATATTCAATGCTTTACTAGCTCTTGAACAATATTCTTCTTTCATGGAAATCCAAAATTGGTTCCTTAATGATTAACGAATTTAGCATCCAGTTTAAAATATCAAATAACAAAGACTTGACTTGTTCTAAATAACGTTTGACCATTTACCGTTTCTGTCTAGTTAAATAATTTAATGGCTGCTTCTCTTCTTCAAACCATCTTTTCGAAGTTAACAGAAGAGTAATTGCGTTCGAAGTTAACAGAAGAGAAATTTATGGATTATTTTTTTATTTTAAAAAAATCTTTATTTTTAAAAAGCTAGAGACACCAAGCACATGACGTCGATGTCAAAGTCATGTCTGTCATTTGACATTTTAAACTGGATGCTAAAATCCTTAATTTTTAAGTATTTCCATGAAAGAAGAGCCAGTAAAGCATTGAATATTTTATTGTAATTTTCCACATCATACCTCTGTGAATTAGGATTTTCTGTACTTATCAACATTAAATGCAAATATGGATCAAATACTAAATGCCTTGACGAGGAAGACGTAACATTCCAAAAATTGCCAAATCACATCAAGCACTGAAGTAGAATTAAATATACAATGTAATGACGTAAAATTACAAGTTTATTTCAGGAGACAACTTTATTTTCTTTCTATTTTCAAATTTAATGACTACCATATCTCCTCCAGGATCTTCAGTTTGGTCCTAAAGTCTTGTCACACCCTACCAAAAAGTAATGAGAACAATAGAACAAGTAATACAGTAATACAAAGCACATGTACTGAATTCAGTTTATTCATTTTCATTGACGCTGTCACACATCACTAGCCTCTCTTTCAAAATGGAGCTTGTATCAGCCATCTGAAAGATCAGTTTTTTAAGCAAATATAGGGGATCGCACTACACACAGGTATTTTATTCTGGAGCGGTTAAAATATATGCAAAAAATTTATGGTGTCGCACTATACTTTATTGGTTTAAAAATCTATTCTAAAATTTATATAAAAACATAACATAAAATAGAATGGGCGCTTCGACTTGGTTTAATGGCTAGCAAAACTTGTCTCACTAGTTAATTACGTCAAGTGAGATCGATTCTCACTGGGTGCCGTTTACTTTCGGCTTTGTGCAATATCTAAGCGAAGCTTGGAAAATCGCCATTTAAAACTTAATGTTCATTTTCACATAGCAAGCTTGTCTCGCCAGTTCAGTTACGACTAAGTAGTGAGTTCAAACCTCACTTTCGGCACTGTGCCACATTTAAGCTACACTTAATAAATTACTGGACACTTCGACATGATGTAATGGGTAGCAAACTTATCTCACTAAATCAATTACAATTGTAAACTGAATTCCAGCTTCACTAGGTGCGCCATATTTTCACTTAGAAAATAACCGTAACATATGAAATTGAATAATTCGATAATTGGCAACAAATACGTAAAACAATTTATTTATTCAACTTTTTATTATTAATTTACAATCTATAATTTATCACCCACAAGGATGCAGATACGCTTTTGAACTCTATCGAGACTATAAAGTGTGAAAATTAAATATTTGGTTTTTGTTTTGGAAATTAAAAAAAATCCAGATTTTCGTATTTTAATTAAAATTCTAAAAATAGCTTTTAAAAACGATTATCGAGTGCATATACACTTTGTCACGAGAAAAACGGCCTTTGTCAGAGACTTTTCTTTTTGTCTGGTACTAAATTTAACTTTGCAAAATAAATAAATAAAAAGATTTATTATTTTACAGTGTGGTTCACCCATTATAAGGCCCGGAGACACTCGAGGTAGAGGTTACAGAGTAAGAGTCGGTTTATGCGAATAGGAGGGTGAGATAACGGTTGGCCCTAGACTTGAACAGTTTAAGATTGTAGTGATCGGGGAAATATCTTCTAGAGAATCGGTTTCACAGAACAGTGGTTCGCGGGAAGAAGCCGTTCGAGTGGAACTTACTTCTCACCAATGGAATACGGGTGGTTTGAGGGTGGTTTGATACAATTGTGCTTGACATGATGGGTCCTAACCGTGAAAGGTAGAATTGGCGGAAAAAAAGGAATGCAACTCGTCCGAGCACTTTCTATGGAAATAATGATAGATCACTGAGAGACTTACTTTTATCCTGTCTGACAGAGAGGCTGGAAGATAGAAAATAATTTGTTATACACAAGAATTCTAAGACGCTTTCTATCAAGACTGAAAAGTAAGGACTGGGCAGTTCCCGCCCAAATATAACAACAGTACACCATTTTAGATGTAATTGGTTGTTTCCACCATGCACAATTTTACTAGGTTTTTTGATCGTTACCTGTCACGCTTGGTGTCCATTTTGTTCGATTTCTTCTTTCTCTTACAGAAGATCACTATTATCTTTCTTCGGTCTCCTTTGCTGCTTTATTCTTCGTTTCCTTCCTTTTAATCTTTTGTCTAGTCATCATCATTATTATTGCTTTTTTCTTTTCACCCTTCTTCTGGTTTTTGTTCGTCTTCTTTTTCCTCTGCCTTCTCTTTTTTCTTCACGTTATTTCCTATTAGGATACTTCTCTTCATCCCCCCTCCTCTTAATTCTACGCTCACTTCTCACCTTTTTCTATCCTATTTCCACTTATTTCTCCTTCTTCTGCTCTCACTCCTAACTCTTCTTTGTCTTTCTTTCTTTCTTTCTTTCTTTCTTTCTTTCTTTCTTTCTTTCTTTCTTCTTCTCTCGCCTCTTACTTCTCCTCCTACCTGTCTTGGACTGAGGAGAGAATAAGAGAAATTAATTAATGGAAGGAGCAGAAGACAACAAAAAGGGACGGAATAAGGAAAAAGAAGGAAAAGTGGAGGGAGTGGAAATGGAAACTACTTCTCTCTCCTTATTTCTCCTCTTTCACTTTTCGTATTTAACTTCCTCTTCTCTTTTCTTTATTCCTCTTTTCTCTAACATCATCATCTCCACTCTTCTCCCATCTTATTTGTCGTCTTTCACTCCCCCTTCCACGACTTTTCTTTGTCTTTTCTTCTTTTTTTCTTGCTCTCTCCATTTTTGCCTTCCACTACTTCCCCTATCTACTTGTCTTTTCTCTTCCTTTTCTTTTACTACTTTTTTCCTCGCCTCTTACTTCTCTTCCTATCTGTGTTGTGTTTACTGTACTTCTCTCCCCATATTGTCCCTCTTCCTCTTTTCGTATGCTTCTTGTTTTCTTTTTTCCTCTTTCCTCTAAAATCTTCTTCACTCCTCTTCCTTCTTATTTGTCATCTTACACTTCCATTCTTCCCACTTCTTCTTGCTTATTTCGTATTCCTTTCCTCTTCTTCTCCTTTTCCTCTTCTTTTTTTCTAATTTCTTTCTTCTTTTTTTCTTTATTCTTTCCCACATCTTTTTTCTTATTCTTTCCTCTCTGCCTTCTTTTTTATTATTCCTTTCCTCTCCTTCCTTTTTTCTAATTCCTTTCTTCTTCTTCTTCTTCTTCTTCTTCTTCTTCTTCTTCTGTTTTCTAATTCATTCTCTCTTCTTCTTATTTCTTATTCCTCCCCTCTTCTTCTTCCTCTTTTTTCTTATTCCTTTCATCCTCTTCCTTTTCTAATTCCTTTCTTCTTCTTCTGTTTTCAAATTCCTTTCCTTCTCCTTTTTCAAATTCCTTTCTTCTTTTTTGTCTGATTCCTTCCTTCTTTTTGTTTCTTATTCCTTGACTCTTTTTGCTTCTTATTCCTTTCCTCTTCTTTTTTCTTATTCCTTTCCTTCTCTTCTTTTTTTATTTCTTCCATCTTCTTATTCTTCTTAATCCTCTCTTCCTCTTTTCCTTTTTCTTCTTTTTCCTCACCACCCATTCCTTAACAGAAGCAATTGGAGACATTCTTCAGTCGGCAATACTTAACGATTTCTCTATTCAATAATTTTAGTCTTTCATGAAAGTTGAGACTAGTAATACGAACAGCCGACAATCCTTCTTTTCTTTATTTGTACGATTTTTTTCTTCCTTTATTTTTCTCGTTTTGCTTTTAGTTTCTTTCTGAAATTATAATAGTTTGCACATTTTGCTTAAATGTCTTCAACGAATTTTTAGCAATCAATTCGATTCTTACCTGACAGCGGAGTCGACATTCTATCGTCTCATCTACGCAATATTTCTTTTTATATTATTCCCCCTACTTCTCCCCTTCCTACTCTTATTACTCGACTTTTCATCGCAGATATCATTAGTTATAATAGATGGATTAGAAGAAAAAATATCTGGCAGTTAAGTGGATTTGTTTTATAAGGATTGGTTGTGTGGTTGATTTTACGACATATCAGCCTTTGTTGGGTGATTTAATCTCTAAATCAGTCTTTTATTATTCTCCTCCTTCTAACGGTTTGCGTTTTCAACTGGGGATCTTGCATTATGGGTAATCCCCATCAAGTCTTGTCGTTGTTATTTTTTGTTGTGTGTTTGCTTTTTGTTCTTGTTCTTCTCTTTCATCTTGTTCGCCTCCTTCTGCTTTTTTTTTCCTTTTTTGCCTCTTTCCTTTCTTCTTCTTCTTCTTTTTCTACGTCTTCTTTATCTATTTTTCTTTTTCTAATTTTGTCTTCTACTTTTCTTTTCCCTTTTTCTTCATTACCTTCTTTTTCTACGCCTTCTTCTTTTTCTTGTTTTTCTTTTTCTTCTTCTTTATTTTTTTTCCTTTTCAATTTTTTCTTCTACTTTTTCTTCTTTCTTTTCTTCTTTTATATGTTCTTTTTCTACGTCTTTTATTCTTGCTTTTTGCTATTTCTTCTTTGTCTTCTTTTTCTTTCTTTTGTATTTTTTCTTCTTTTCTTCTTTTTCTACGTTTTCTTTATGTCATTTTTCTTCTTTTTGTTTTTTTTCTTTTCCTTCTTATTTTTCTTCTTTTCCTTCTTTTCCTCTTTCTCCATTTTCTTCTTTTTTGTAGGTTTTCTTTTTCTGAATTTTTCTTCTTTATCTTTTTTCTTTTAAATGTTTCTCCTTCCAATTTTTCTTCTTTCTTTCCTTCTTTATCTTCTTTTTCAATGTTTTCTTTATCTTGTTTTTTCTTTTTCTAATTTTTTCTTCTTCTTTATCTTTTCTTCCATTTATTTTCTTATTTTTATTTCTTCTTCTTTTGTTTGTGTTTTCTTTTTCCCTTCTTGCTTTTTTCCCTGTGAGAGATGAACATAGATTTTTAAACGTCAACCTATCTTCCTTAACTGCCATATCCATTCAAGATGTAGGCAATTATGGGTCACTACAGTTTCTTTTTCTTTATTAACTACGATCTTCAAAAATTTAAATGCCACATCAATCGTCATTTGTTTATTTGAATCCTGGTTTTTATTGTCCTTTCTTCTTAATAACGTTTTCTTAGATACTTTTCTTCTAATTAGCCCCTCGCGTCTTAGTGGCTTTCTCGCCTTGCTTGGCGTTGAAATAATTTAAAAAACAGCTGAAGGATTCATAGATATGATTATTGTTGGGAAATAAGGCGGATTTGTTTGTTGGTTTTGAATTCGGAATTGTCTTTCCTTGAAAAGTATAGAGTCCAGATTTGATCTACAGTGCTGTTCGATAAAAGTGACTCACCTGATTTTTTTACTTAAAAACTTTTTCGCCTATTGTTTTTGGGGTCAAACTAATTATTAATCTTACTAATAGAAAGACGCCTTCCCGACCACCTAGTAAAAAAGTTTACTCACCCTAAGATGTTCTATCGATAATTATGATTTTGGATATAAATGAGATTCAGTAAAAAAACTCTGTGCAAAAAAAAGTGACTCACTTATTTCCTGCAACTAGTAATCAATAGAAACATAACCAAACAGCTTTAAATAAAGAATAATAGAGGTATAATTTATTTATAATAGGTAAATATAGTTCGAAATATTTAATAATCTATGGGTCCTCCTTTATTTTGAATAACCTTTTCAACCCTTTTTGGCATTGACTTGATTAAGTTCTGGCAAATCTCATCTCCAAGCATTGAATTCCATTCCGATATGAAATTCACAATCAAATCCTCTTTGTTGCTCAACTGCTTTCTCAAGAGTCTCTACTTTATAATGCTCCATAAGTTTTCTATGGGGTTGAGGTCAGAAGATTGGGGCGGCCGTGTCATAACACTCACCTGCTTCTCATCAAAGTATTCCTTCATCAATTTTGATTTGTGACAGGGAGCATTATCCTGCATAAAAATGAGCCTGGTGGGGGTCGATTTTCACCCTTTCAGCAGAAGGGAGCAGGCAAGAATCTAAAATTCTCTTGTACTGCTCGCCCCTGAGGGGCTTTTCAATAGGTTTTAAGAAACCAGTTCCATGAAAAGAAAAGCATCCCCAGAACATTATACTGAACGGATGCTTGGCAGTACTTACTGCTAAATTCAAAGAGCTTTCAAAGCTTCTTCTTCGAATTTTAGATCGCTTATCCTTTGAATTTAGCTCAACTTTCGTTTCATCGGAGAATGTAGTAAAAAAACCCAGGTGAGTCACTTTTAGCGAACAGCACTGTATACCTCTTGAGGAAGAAGAAATTAAGTTAGAGCTTGAATGAGAACATTTTTTACGAAGGGAACACAAACTGGTTGAGCCGGTATTTGAACATGGTTCACCGCATTTTTCAGCACTGTTAATGGTTGGTCGACGCAAACATTCTTCTTTTGATACCTCTCTCTCTTTCTCCCTTTCTTTGTCTCTCTCTCTCTCTCTCTTGCTGTCTCTTGCTGTCTCTCTCTTTAGCTGGGCTGTATGCCATCAGAATTTATGGGATTAGGTTTCTCCACACTTACAGCAAGTCACGTTGAAACACCGGTTCTCGCACAATCACAGAGGTTAAGCAACGTCAAACATGGTCAGTAACTAGATGGATGACAGCTTGAAAATACCAGCTGCTGTAAGCCTAGATTTGCGCTTAGTATAGACTTACGGCCATATACGTTGAAACAACCGTTCCCGTACGATCACTGAAGTTAAGCAATGTCGAGGTTAATCAGTACCTAGAAGGGTGCTATAAGCTTGGGTTTGCGAATGATTTAATGGAGAACGGCTCAGAATCGGAGATCGGAGAGCCGAGTTCCAATTGCAGTCGGATCTGTTATCTTCACTTACCCATAAATAGGAATTCATCTCTTCTCTCTCCCTAGCTATGGGTTAATTAGTAGAATTTGTTTAAGTAAATCCCCATCAGGAAGCACGGTGGAGTAATGTAGAGCCAAGTTCGAATTTCAGTTGAATCCATTACACTCACTTACGTGCTAGTACACTTGGGAAAGGTTTGAATCTTCTTCTTCTTCTTCTTCTTCTTCTTCTTCTTCTTCTTCTTCCTCTTCTTCTTCCCACAGCTATGGGTAAATAGCAGTTCAGACCGGGTTTTATAGCCTTGGATGGCAACTGGTCTTATGCAGAAAGAAATGGCAACCTACTGCGGGAAAAATTCTGCCTCGTCAGTCATGTATCAAAAGTTACATGATCGCCTAAACGTGTATCACACATGGCACATAGCTGAAGTCATCATTATCGCTAAAAAATTATAATCTAAAAATATTTTCTGGCTTTAAATAACCTGAAAAAGGATGATAATCCGTAAAAAAATGCCAAAATCCATCCACAGCTTAGCTACTTTCACTAATACTCTCCTCTTTACGACCAATCTTTGTTATTCTATAACTTGTTCCTCCATTCATTCTGAAGGATCACGCCCCATAAAAGAAGAAGTCTTGGCATGTTCTCTATTTGGATACAAGCCGTTTGTTCTTAATATGCTGCACTTTGTTTTTATGGCTCGATAGAATAAATATCTTGCA